TTTGGCCCGGTGGAGCAAGTGCCCCCAGACCACTCTGGTAGCCTACACCATACCCTTATAAGTTGAAATATATACCAAAATGCCCCTAAAAGATATGAATACTAGAGTTGAATGTCCTTTCGGGATAGAATCTTTGTGTTATGTGAGTGCCCTTATCAGCCTGGTGCGCAAATTTGCAATCCAGACCTCATCGTTTGGGATTTGGCCTTTTGCAGTCGGGTCTTGGAAAAGTTAACAATTACTAGGGCATTTTGCAAAGTTGGATGATACTTTTGATAGGGTATATCCAAAGACCGGGAGTCCAACTGACGACAACGGTATTTCACAAAAGTTTACTTTTGTTAGGGGGCACTCCTCTCTATTTACATCTTTTAGAGACATTTTGGCATAAGGGGGTATTTTGCAACTTATCCCAATTAAAAATAAAATAAAACAAATGCTACGTTCAAAACACAAACGACATCTAGCGGCCTAGCTCAATTGGTTAGGCACGAAAGTGACATTTAGGAGGTTGTGGGTTCAATCCCCATGGTCGCCTGTGACACTCTTGGTGCCAACCAACTTAGATAGTTAGCTTGATCCTCCCAGTCGGTATTAGTAAGGTTGACCTTAGACTCTGGGTACATGTACCAGTGCGCGTGTGAGTGGGTTGCGTATGATGTGTGGGAGAGTGTTGGCTTTAGACACTAATGTTACTCGATGGGGTTGAGGTGAGATGAAAAGGATGCACAATTACTGGCAAATACTTGGTCCTTGTGTTAACGAGGCCCCCACCGACAGCCCCAACCCTGTACCCTAAATGCTAGGGCAAAGGGGCAAACATGCTGACTTGCAAGGGTCCCCTGTACAACCTTAGGAGTAGTGGCAGGTAGGTAGTGAATGAAAGACATGTTCCAGGACATGGCAGAACGCCAATTAACAAACATGTGAGGTGAGAGAAAAATATATGGCTGGCCCCCGATGAGGAGAAGACAACTTTCTTTGGAAAAAAAAAAAAAAGAAAAAAAAAAAAAATTTGTTTGACGGCGTCACGCCACTCCGACAGACCACTTACCCTGCCGTGCACGTAGAACCTCTGACTTTCTTGCATGCTTGTGCCGAAAATTCGGATTTGGAGCACGTGCAGTGGTTTTGTGACCCTGCCGTAAAAAATGACGGTGTGTGTGTGTGTGTGTGTGTGTGTGTGTGTGTGTGTGT